CTAGAATGACGTTTGCAAAGTTTCGTGACAATCGATTCAGATTTACATATAGCTTCCATATATAATTTCATCCGATTTAAGGTAATTGGTGCACTAAACACCCTATATATCTTTCGATTTGCACAAAATTTGGCATCGCGCACTGAATTAAGTCTAGAACGTTGTGTGTTAAATTTCGTGAAAATCGTTTCAGATTTAAATATAGCTCCCATATATATTTTCGTCCGATTTTATGTAAATGGTGGACCAAAGTCCCTATATAACCTTCGATTTGAAAGAAATTTGTCATAGAATTCTGAATTAAGCCTAAATTTCGTGAAAATCGGTTCGGATTTACATATAGCTTCCATATATAATTTCATCCGATTTAAGGTAATTGGTGCACTAAACACCCTATATATCTTTCGATTTGCACAAAATTTGGCATCGCGCACTGAATTAAGTCTAGAACGTTGTGTGTTAAATTTCGTGAAAATCGTTTCAGATTTAAATATAGCTCCCATATATATTTTCGTCCGATTTTATGTAAATGGTGGACCAAAGTCCCTATATAACCTTCGATTTGAAAGAAATTTGGCATAGAATTCTGAATTAAGCCTAAATTTCGTGAAAATCGGTTCAGATTTAGATATAGCTCCCATATATAGTTTCGTCCGATTTTAGGTAAATGGTGCACTAGAGACCCTATATATACTTCGATTTGCACGAAATTTGGCACAGCGTACTGAATTAGGTGTAGAATGATGTGTGTTGAGTTTCGTGAAAATCGGTTAACATTTAGATATAGCTCCCATATATATTTTCGTCCGATTTTAGGAAAATAGTGCACCAAAGTCCCTATATATCCTTCGATTTGCACGAAATTTGGTACAGTTCACTGAATTAAGTCTAAAATCATGTGTGTTAAGTTTCGTGAAAATCGGTTCAGATTTAGATATAGCTCCCATATATATTTTCGTCCGATTTAAGGTAAATAGTGCACCAAAGTCTCTATTTTCCTTTCGATTTGCACGAAATTTGGTATAGCCTACTGAATTAGGTCTAGAATGATGTGTGCCAAATTTAGTGAAAATCGGTTGAGATTTAGATATAGCTTCCATATATAGTTTCGTCCGATTTCATGTAAATGGCACACCAAAGTCCCTATATATCCTTCGATTTGCACGAAATTTGGCATAGCGTACTGAATTAAGACTAGAATGACGTGTGCCAAGTTTCGTGAAAATCGGTTCAGATTTAGATATAGCTCCCATATATATTTTCCTCCGATTTTATGTAAATGGCACACCAAAGTCCCTATATATCCTTCGATTTGCACGAAATTTGGCATAACTTACTAAATTGTGTCTAGAATGGTGAGTGGTAAGTTTCGTGAAAATCGGTCCAGATTTAGATATAGCTCCCATATATATTTTCGTCCGATTTTAAGTAAATAGTGCACCAAAGTCCCTAAATATATTTCGATTTGCACGATATTTAGCATAGTGTAATGAATTAGGTCTAGAATGATGTGTGTTAAGTTTTGTGAAAATTGGTTCAGATTTAGATATAGCTCCCATATATACGTTCGTCCGATTTAAGGTAAATTGTAATAAATTAACCTCTGGCAAATCGGTTCAGAATTAGATATAGGTGCTCCAAACTCCTCATGTTTATCACAGATCAATCGGGTGTCCGCTTGATATTTGCTTTCAATTGATTTACATAATATTGTCCCGTTGTAAGAAACAACCCTATATCAGAACAACTGTATCTGAGGTTGCAGAACGACATGTTTATGGATTCAATTTCATTCTACTGGTCCTTCGAAAATGCAACGTCGGTTAGGATTCCTATGTTGAATATTCCCAAAGTGGTGAATGGTATTATATAGTCGGCCCCGTCAAACTTTACTACTTTCCTTACTGGTTTTTGTTTCCATTCATCATAAAATATAATTATTTGCCTAGAAATTATAATTTTCGAAAACAAATTAATTATTTTCAAAACTAATAATTTAATCATCTGCAGGTCAATATCAAATTCTATTCAATTCTTCAACAATTGACACGATATATTGATTCGCAAGATACAAATCACATTCAACTTCTCCTATAAAAGTCGGCGGACAATGAAAGCAATTCAGCAGTTTTCAATTCTCCTGGAAAAAAATCGAAAAGTAAACAAAATGAAAGTTTTCAATATTTTGTTTTGTGTTGCCTTAATTTTGGTCGCCAGTGTAAGTATTTTCAATAAAAATTTCAATCCTTTTGAATCTAAATTTCCAATCTCCCCCTAAGGCCTCAGCCAACATGGATCCTCTCAAGCATGCCAAATGCTTGGCCGATAATAAAATCTCCAACGAGGAATTCCATGGTATGTTGAAAGCGGCCAAAGAGGGTTCCACCGATATCGATAATCGCATGAAATGCTATACCCATTGCATGTTGGAAAGCGCTGGTCATTTAGATGAAAATGGTAAATTCGACATGTCAACACTGGACCAAGAAGAGAAACTGACCGAGGAAGGTTTAAAAATTGTTGAAGATTGTAAAAATCAGTTTGAAGGCGTTGAAGAGAAGTGCGATTATTCGTATCAGTTATCATTTTGCATTGCCGAAGAAATGGCCAAGAAAGGTCTATGGAAAGGTGAAGCAGAACATGATGAAGAATGAAAATATGGGCGTTAATAAATGAAATAGAATATTTTTATATGGAACAATATAAAGCTGGATTTTTTTTAAGAATTAAAAGGCTTGTATTTTATCTGGAACCTATATTGTTTAAAGAATATTTTTTAGGAGCCTACAGAAGCGGTAGAATTTTAATGAATGTTTTCTACAGGGGCCTACTGAAGGTATGTGTTTTAAAGAATATTTTTTCTGGGACCTATAAGGTCCGATTTACGTATATTTTTTCGTATATTTTTTCTTAGGTATTTTCCTACATATAGGAGAGCTGTATGTATTCTTCTTCGTGTAGAAGATTTGCAGGTATTGTTCTTCCTGCGGAAGCGCTGAAAGTATTCTTCCTGTGGAAGAAATGCAGGTATTCTTCTTCCTGTGGAAGAGCTGCAGCTATTCTTCATCCTTTGAAAGAGCTGCAGATATTCTGCTTCTTTGAAAAAACTGGAGGTATTATGCTTCCTTCTAAAAGTTAGATGTATTCTTCTTCCTGCGGAAACGCTGAAGGTATTATTCTTCCTGTAGAAGAAATGCAGCTATTCTTCTTCCTATGGTAGGTCACCAGGTAATTTTCTTCCTATAGGAAAGTTGGGATAGTTTCCTTCAAATAGGAGAGCTGTATGTTTTCTTCTTCGTGTAGAAGAGTTGCAGGTATTCTTCCTGTGGAAGATCTGCAGGTATCCTTCTTACTGTGGAGGAGCTGCAGGTATGCTTCTTCCTGTGGAAGAGCTGCAGCTATTGTTCTTCCTGTGGAAGAGCTGCAGCTATTCTTTTTCCATTAAAAAATATTTTTCAAGATCAGAAACAAAATCTGGAATCTCTATACATTTGGGCCTATATAAGTTCTGCTTTTTTAAAGAATATTTCTTCAGGGACCTTCTACAAAGGGGTATACAAGGCCTGAATTCTTATGGGGCATATGTAAAGCGTGGATTTTTTACAAAATATTTTTTTTTTTTGGCTCATGGCTCGGATTATTTATTTTTTGACCTAGTCAGGGTGTGGATGTTTAAAAGAATATTTTTGTGTGTCCTTTTTTGGGTCCTATATAAGGCGTGGATTTTTATACCCTTCAACACACAGTGGTACAGGGTATTATGTATTTGTGCATATGTTTGTAACAGGCAAAAGGAAACGAGATAGACACATGGTTCCTTTTGAGAATATGCATAGAAACACTTTCTAAGTCGATTTATGCATGTCCGTCTGTCTGCCCGTCGTCCGTCCGTCCGTCTGTCTGTCCATGTATTTTTGTTAACAAAGTACAGGTCGCATTTATGATCCGATATGGATGAAATTTGGCACAGTTCACTTATTTGGCCCAAGGACCAACCCTATTGAAATTGGGAAAAGTCGGTTAAGATTTAGATATAGCTCCCATATATATTTTCGTCCGATTTAAGGTAAATGTTGTACCAATGTCCCTGTATATCCTTCGATTTGCACGAAATTTGACATAGCGTACTGAATTGATACTAGGATGATGTGTGTAAAATTTCATGAAAATCGGTTCAGATTTAAATAAAGGTCCCATATTTACTTTCGTCCGATTTAAGGTAAATGGTGCACCAAAGTACCTATATATGTTTCGATTTGCACAAAATTTGGCATAGCGTACTGTATCAAGTCTAGAACGATGTGTGTTAAATTTCGTGAAAATCGGTTCAGATTTAAATAAAGCTCCCATATATATTTTCGTCCGATTTTATGTAAATGGTGCAACTGAGACCCTATATATTATTCGATTTCCACGAAATTTGGGATAGGGTACAGAATTAAGTCTAGAACGATTTGTGTTAAATTTCGTGAAAATCGGTTCAAATTTAGATATAGGTCCCATACATATTTTCGTCCGATTTCAGGTAAATGGTGCAGCAATGTCCCTATATATCCTTCGATTTGGACGAAATTTGGTATAGCGTACTGAATTTAGTCCAGACTGATGTGTGCCAAGTTTGGTGAAAATCGGTTCAGATTTAGATATAGCTCCCATATATATTTTCGTCCGATTTTATATATCCTTCGATTTGCACGAAATTTGTACATATACCCAAAGAGGTGAAGGGTATCATATAGTCGGCCCAGTCCGACTTTACTAATTTCCTTACTGGTTTAGGTATCATTTTTTGCATAAAATGAATATTTTCGAAAACAAATTAATTATTTTCCAACTAATAATTAAATTATCTGAAGTTCAATACGCAATTCTATTCAATTCTGAAACAATTGACACGATATATTGCTACACCAAATACCACTCAGTTCTGCTACTATAAAAGTCAATGCAACAATTTCCACTTATTCAGGGAACCAAAAAATTCTGAAAAACCAATTGAAATGAAAGTTTTCAATATATTCTTCTGTGTGGCTCTAATTTTGGTCGCCAGTGTAAGTATTTTCAAAAATAAATACTGTTCAATCTTTTTTTTTTTTTTTTTTTGTATTCAAAATGCCAATCCCCCTTTAGACCTCAGCCGAGGAGGATGATCTCGGGCATACAAAATGTATGGCCGAAAATAACATTTCCGATGACGAATACAATGAGTTATGGATAGAGGCCAACAGCGGTTCGTCCGACATCGATAATCGTATGAAATGTTATACCCACTGCATTTTGGAAAGTTCGGGTCATTTGGATGATAATGGTAAATTGGATATCGCAAAAATGGGCCAAGATAGGGAAATGACAGAGAATGATGTGGAAATTGCTGAAGATTGCAGAGATCGTTTCGAAAATGTTGAAGAAAAATGTGATTATTCGTATCAGGTGTCGACTTGTATTGCCCAGGCAATGTCAATGAAAGCCCTTTTGGGAGGTGAATCATCAAATAATCTACACTAGGAATACGAATGTTGATAAATGATAAATTTTTCAAAAATGCATTAAAATTTTTTAATTGAAAAAAAAAAAAAAACAAAACAGTAAGGAAAGTAGTAAAGTCGGACTGGGCCGACTATATAATACCCTTCACCACTTTGGGTATACTCTACACATGTCTCCCAAAATTGAACGAAAAGATATATAGGGACTTTGGAGCACCATTCACATAAAATCGGACGAAAATATATGTGGGAGCTATATCTAAGTCTGAACCGATTTTCAAGAAACTTTGCACACATCATTCTAGACTCAATGCAGTACGCTATGCCAAATTTTGTGCAAATCAAAAGATATATAGGGACTTTGGTGTAGCATTTAGATAAAATCGGATGAAAATATATATGGGAGCTATATCTGTGCCGATTTTCACGAAACTTAACAAACATCATTATAAACTCAATTCATTACGCTATGCTAAATTTCGTGCAAAATGAATGATATATAGGAAACCATTTACATAAAATCGGACGAATATATATAGGTGCTATATCGAAATCTGAACCGATTTCCACGAAGCTTAGCACACATCATTTTAGACCTAATTCAGTACGCTATGCCAAATTTCGTGCAAATCGAAATATATATATGGACTTGGGTCCACTATTTACGTAAAATCGGACAAAAATATGTATGGGAGCTATATATAAATCGGAACCGATTTTTACTAAACTTTGCACACATCATTCTATACTAAATTCAGCACGCTATGCTAAATTTCATGCAAATCGAATGATATATAGGGACATTTACATAAAATCGGACGAAAATATATATAGGAGCTATATCGAAATCTGAACCGATTTTGAGGAAACCTAACACACATCATTCTAGACCCAATTCGTTATGCTGTGCGAAATTTCGTGCAAATCGAAAGATATATAGGGACATTGGTGCACCATTTCCCTTAAATCGGACGAAAATATATATGGGAGCTATATCTAAATTGGAACCGATTTTCACGAAACTTTGCACACATCATTCTAGACTCAATTCAGTACGCTATGCTAAATTTCGTGCAAATCGAATGATATATAAGGACATTTACATAAAATCGGACGAAAATATATATGGGAGCTATATCGAAATCTGAACCGATTTTTAGGAAACCTAACACATATTATTCTAGACCCAATTCGTTACGCTGTGCGAAATTTCGTGCAAATCGAAAGATATATAGGGACATTGGTGCACCATTTCCTTTAAATCGGACGAAAATATATATGGGAACTATATTTCCAGTACGCTATACCAAATTTCGTGCAAATCGGCGGAAGATATATAGGGACTTTGGTACACCATTTACCTTTAATCGGACGGATATATATATATGGGAGCTATATCTAAATCTGATCCGATTTTCAAGAAACTTTATACACATCATTCTAGACCCAATTCATTGCACTGTGCCAATTTTCGTGCAAATCGAAAGATATATACGGACTCTGGTACACCATTTACCTTAAATCGGACGAATATACATATGGGAGCTACATCTAAATCTGATCCGATTTTTCCCAATTTCAATAGGGTTCGTCCTTGAGCCAAATAAGTGACGTATGTCAATTTTCATCCAATTCGGATCATAAATGCGACCTGTACTTTGTTAACAATTTAACATGGACAGAGAGACGGACGGGCATGCATAAATCGGTTTAAAAGGGGATTCTATGCATATTCTCAAAAGGAACCAAAGGGTCTATCTCATTTCCTTTTGCCTGTTACAAACATATGCACAAAGACATAATACCCTGTACCACAGTGTGGTGAAGGGTATAAAATATATTTTGTCAGGGTCCTACAGATTTCCTTGTTTATGTGCCATTTTTCCCAATATATAATTATAAATATTTCCCAAAACAAATTTATTATTTTCAAACTAATAATTACATAAAATTGAATTCAATACCTAATGCTATTCAATTCTGCAACAATTGACACGAAATATTGATTCACAAGATACACATCACTTTTCGCTACTATAAAAGTGGACTGGCAATGGAAACAGTTCAGCAGGTTTTATATTTTCAAGACACCCCGAAAAATGAAAGTTTTCAATATTTTCGTCTGTGTGGCTTTAATTTTGGTCGCCAGTGTAATTATTTCCAATATTTTTTTTTATATTTTAATAACTTAATTTCCAAACCCCTTTTAGACTTCCGCCCGCAAGGATCCCCGCAAGCATGCCAAATGCTTGGCCGATAATGAGCTCTCCAAAAAGGAATTCCTTGGCATGTGGAAGGCGGCCAAAATGGGTTCCACCGACATCGATAATCGCATGAAATGCTATACCCATTGCATGTTAGAAAGTTCGGGTCATTTAGATGAAAATGGCAAATTGAATATGTCATCAATGGGCAAAGGAAAGAAAATGACAGAGGAAGGCTTAAAAATTGCTGAAGATTGTAAAAATCGTTTTGAGGACATTGAAGAGAAGTGTGATTATTCGTATCAGGTGTCATATTGCATTGCCGAGGAAAAGGCCAAGAAAGGTCTCTTGAAGGGTAAAGCAAAACATGGTAAAGAATAAGAATTCGAGGAGGTTTATACAATAAATTTTTAAATATTCCCTGAATATTTTTTAACGAGAAGAAAAAATGTATTTTATTTAAAAACAAAAAATATATTTTAATTCTAAACGCAGCTATTAGACCCCTGGATTTTAAAACGATTTTTTATTCTGACCATCAAATAAATCTTGGAGATATAAAGAATATTTTTCAAGGGACTATTTTTTTCAAAAATACCCAAAAACGGCCTTAATTAAAAACCAGTAAGGAAAGCAGTAAAGTCGGACTGGGCCGACTATATGATACCCTTCACCACGTTGTGATATTCTATATACTTATTTTTGGGGCTTCAGTGCACAATTTACATTAAATCGGACGAAAATATATATTGGAGCTATATCTAAATCCCAACCGATTTTCACGAAACTTAGCACACATCATTCTGAACCCAATTCAGTACCCTATGCCAAATTTCGTGCAAATCAAATGATATATAGGAACTTTGGTGCACCATTTACCTTAAGTCGGACGAAACTATATATAAGAGGTATATCTAAATCTGAACCGATTTTGTCGAAACTTGGCACACATACTTTTGGACCTAATTCAGTACTCTGTGCTAAATTTCGTGTAAATCGAAAGATATATAGGGAACTCTGAGACCCTTAAATCCGACGAAAATATATATGGGAGCTTTATCTAAATCAGAACCGATTTTTTCGAAACTTAGCACACATTATTCTGAAGCTAATTCAGTACTCTAAGCTAAATTTCGTGCAAATCGAAAGGTATATAGGGACTTTGGTGCATCATTTACCGTAAATCGGACGAAACTATATATAAGAGCTATATCTAAATCTGAACCGATTTTGTCGAAACTTGGTACATATCATTCTGGACCTAATTCAGTACTCTGTGCCAAATTTGGTGTAAATCCAAAGATATATAGGGACTTCTGAGACCCTTAAATCGGACGAAGATATGTATGGCAGCTACATATAAATCTGACCCGATTTTCTCGAAACTTGGCACACGCCTTTCTTAACCTAATTCAGCACTTTATGCCAAATTTCGTGCAAATCGAAAGGTATATAGGAACTTTGGTGCACCATTTACATAAAATCGGACAAAACTATATATGGGAGCTATATCTAAATCTGAACCGATTTTCACGAAACTTAGCACACATTATTCTGGAGCTAATTCAGTACCCTATGCCAAATTTCGTGCAAATCGAAGGATACATAGGGACTTTGGTGCACCATTTACATAAAATCGGACGAAACTATATAGGGAACCTATATCTAAATCAGGACCAATTTTCTCGAAACTTGGCACACATCATCCTGGACCAAGTTTAGTACTCTTTGCCAAATTTCGTGCAAATCGAAAGGTATATAGGGACTTTGGTGCACCATTTACATAAAATCGGACAAAACTATACATGGGAGCTATATCTAAATCTGAACCGATTTTCACGAAACTTGCTACACATCATTCTGGACCTAGTTCAGTACTCTATGCCAACATTTTTTAAAGAAGACATCAATTTGTTAAATAACATTATTCATATAATCTTGTTCTAATGCCTCCCCACTAACTATTTTATTTCGTGGTCCAACTTCCATCTATGCTGACGGACATAACTTATTTAAGTCTCTAGATGCTGATGATGTTGTGCATGAAATATCGAAATATGCAATGAATATTGAAGTGTATTCCCTTCACATATTTCGTATGAACGAAAAAAAAACGATGGAAATAGGACACACATGACTTTGAGGTCTATTACAATTTCTTTTTTCTTCTTCTTTCAACTTCTTGCCGATTTTTTTTACATCGTGTTCGAAAACTTTGTAATTTTCACAGATAGCTCCCTGAAGAAATAAATGCTGCTGTGTTTGGCTTCGAACAATCAATGGAAGAAATACATAGGCAGCAACAGCAATACCAAAAAACGAAAAAATCGAATTTTGTAGGTGTTCAAATATTTCAATTTCACAGGGTAGACGAATAAAAATGGTATTCACAGCGTTTGTTTTAAAAACAAAGCTGACCACAAGAAAAAATAAATATTCTTGAAAAAATCCACGTCTTGTATAGATCCTTGAAAAAATATTCTTTAAAAAATCCACGCCTTGTATAGATCCTTGAAAAAATATTCTTTAAAAAATCCACGCCTTGTATAGATCCTTGAAAAAATATTCTTTAAAAAATCCACGCCTTGTATAGATCCTTGAAAAAATATTCTTTAAAAAATCCACGCCTTGTATAGATCCTTGAAAAATATTCTTTAAAAAATCCACGCCTTTTTTTAAAATTCACGTATAGATCCTTGAAAAAATATTCTTTAAAAAATCCACGCCTTGATAGAAAAAATATTCTTTAAAAAATCCACGCCTTGTGTAGATCCTTGAAAAAATATTCTTTAAAATATCCGCGCCTTGTGTAGCATCCTTGAAAAAATATTCTTTAAAATATCCACGCCTTGTATAGATCCTTGAAAAATATTCTTTAAAAAATCCACGCCTTGTATAGATCCTTGAAAAAATATTCTTTAAAAAATCCACGCCTTGTATAGATCCTTGAAAAAATATTCTTTAAAAAATCCACGCCTTGTATAGATCCTTGAAAAAATATTCTTTAAAAAAGCCACGCCTTGTATAGATCCTTGAATAAATATTCATTAAAAAATCCACGCCTTGTATAGATCCTTGAAAAATATTCTTTAAAAAATCCACGCCTTGTATAGATCCTTGAAAAAATATTCTTTAAAAAATCCCCGGCTTGTGTAGATCCTTGAAAAAATATTCTCTAAAAAATCCACGCCTTGCGTGGGTCCTTAATTTTTTTTTTAACTTATATACGTAAATAAATATTTTTACAAATATCCTTGTCCTTAGTCCTTAAAAATATGTTTTTTACCCAAAATATTTTATACAACATTTATTTAACAAATTCCTGGAAAAAGTTTCTAAAACCACATTCCTTTTTACAAAAAAGCAAAAATACTATTTATTATTTATTTTTATTTAAATCATATCCCCGAATGACACTTCATAGAAAAACCAATAGCACACACACGCATACTCTCATGCATTCACATCATTGTGTGTTATGTTGTCTATGTGTGCGTGTGTTAGTTAGTTTTAAGCAAACGTCTGAAACTTATACTTTGTCATGCTGTTGCATATAAAAAAGCCTGGTCACATTTCCCTTTGCCAAGAGGGGAAAGGAGTGGGGTCCTGGAATCCCAAAACTTCAAACAGGAACACTTCTAAAAAAAGGACGAGCAAATCAACTCTTCTGCTGCTTCTTCTTGTCGTCGTCGTCGTCACCATCATCTTTTGGAGAAAAAATACCGCAATAGTACGTGACAGTCTCATGTGCAAATGTCTGCGTATTATTCGCTACTCATGCACCATGACACCATGCACGGTGAGACAGGCACATATAGCAGGACCTGCTGATGCTGCTCCTGCTCCTGTAACACACACCAGCCGTATATTTACTAAAGAGTAAGAGGCTAAGTGTGTACGGATGTGCGAGTGTGTGTGTGTGTGAGTGAATGAGCTTAGTTAGAGCTCTGGGAAAATACATTATTTGGTATTTGTATGTATGTCTGTGTTTGTGTCTGATGTACATGAATTTTGTATGAGACCCAAGTGCACCTCTGTATTCCGGGATAGCAAACAACCGAACAAAATAACAAAAAAATCAACAGCCAGCTAAATGCGTTCATGTGAGTTGTTCCTCATGTTGTTGCTCATTTTTTTGTAGCTTCAGGTTTTCTACTGTTGTTGTTGTTGTTGAATATTGTGGATGTGTGACGTATGATGAATAAATAAAGGAACACAAATTTGTTAATGATGCGCACACCATCATTAGGTAGAATTTCTTTTTTTTTTCGAAAAAAAAAAAAAACAAAACCAAACATGAGAGATGAGGTAGACAGCACTAATGCGTCAAGTGTGACCCGATGTTGCAACAAGGAAATTAAATACACATAATCTCGGTTTGGTCAACACATCATATGAGAAACATGTTCCACTCGAATTTTTTTGCTATTGTTGTTTGGTGGAGACATGTGAGAGGGACTCAATTAGTAGTTGGAAAACAAAATGCTAAAGAAAAAATTAGTCACACATTTATAGCGGATTATTTTTAAAGGACCTAAGGCGTGGATTTTTTAAAAAATATTTTTCAAGGATCTATACAAGGCGTGGATTTATTAAAGAATTTTTTTTAAGGATCTATACAAGGCGTGGATTTCTTAAAAAAATATGTTTTAAGGACATACACAAGACATGGATTTCGTAAAGAATATTTCTCAAGGCATGTATTTTTTCAAGAATATTTTCTCAAGGATCTATACAAAACGTAGATTTTTTAAAGAATATTTTTTTCAAGGATCTATACATGGCGTGGATTTTTTAAAGAATATTTTTTTCAAGGATCTATACAAGGCGTGGATTTTTTAAAGAATATTTTTTTCAAGGATCTATACAAGGCGTGGATTTTTTAAAGAATATTTTTTTCAAGGATCTATACAAGGCGTGGATTTTTTAAAGAATATTTTTTCAAGGATCTATACAAGGCGTTGATTTTTTAAAGAATATTTTTTCAAGGATCTATACAAGGCGTTGATTTTTTCAAGAATATTTTTTCAAGGATTTATACAAGGCGTGGATTTTTTAAAAAATAGTTTTTCAAGGATCTATACAAGGCGTTGATTTTTTAAAGAATATTTTTTCAAGGATTTACACAAGGCGTGGATTTTTTAAAGAATATTTTTTCAAGGATCTACACAAGGCGTTGATTTTTTAAAGAATATTTTTTCAAGGATTTACACAAGGCGTGGATTTTTTAAAGAATATTTTTTCAAGGATCTACACAAGGCGTGGATTTTTTAAAGAATATTTTTTCAAGGATCTATACAAGGCGTGGATTTTTTAAAGAATATTTTTTCAAGGATCTATACAAGGCGTGGATTTTTTAAAGAATATTTTTTAAGGATCTG